CATGTTGTGGCAGTAGTAATTTGCTTGACCTCTTCTACCTGGTGGTTTTCTATTCGAGCAGATACTGCAGAGTAGACTTGTTTTCTTCCTCCTATAGTAATAATATGTAATGTATTGTCCAGTCTGTGCACCACTATGAAAACACTTTACACATTCTCTTTCTACACAATTCGAGTTGATTTTTTTTTACATAATCCTAATATATATTCCATTTCTTTATTTGCTTTTTCATGCAATTTGAATGGAAAACTTCAAGAAAATACACGTCTGAAAAATCTGTACTGGCAGAAGTTTGTCCTGTGTAGTTACCAGTAATCTCTATCCTCTGACAGGGGACATCCAAGTGGTTTGCTACATTCATGATGTCCTCTCAGAGGAGCCATCCGAGTACAAAGGGTTAATACTAGAAAGGCAGAAGCAAGCATCATCATTTGCAGATGATGTAATTAGATGCTTGGAATACTCCAAAGAATAAAAACTCTTAGAAACAATGAAAGAATTCAGTGAGCTGCTAAGGACTACATGAACATTATTTGAAATGTACATCTGGAGTCTATTAGACCTGGCCTCAAAATTAGGTACTGCTGGGTAATATTTGCTCTATTATCCAGAATATAGGTCCAGAAACTTGCTTTCATTAGTATATTGAAAATTATTCAGGTATAGAAGACTGAGTTATACTAACTAAACTCAAGTAAGGTAATTGATAAACCATAACTTGTTTTCAGACAAAAACATAATTGCCAAAAATTGACGGTTTCAACTTAAATTCCAGTGTGTATTATGCAGCTTCATATGAAGTGATTAAATAGTAAATGTACTCATATTTTATAATAAGCCTCCATTAATAAGAATAGCCTAATAGATTAAAACTAGTATTAATAAAGCATTAAGATGCAGTATAGCATGGTCTGATGACTAATAATTCCTGTAAGAGAGAATTTAAGAAAGTAAGTTTGTTCTGATAGTTTCTGGCATGGAAAGTGATTTTGTTCTTCCCAACTATTCTGATAACACTCTTTATATTTTGTTCAATTAAATCAGAATTCAGGACTTAGTAATCTTTTAGTTTACTGTTCCTTCCATCACATCATATTTCATTTTAACACATCATTTCTCTTTGCCAACAAAAATTGTGAATTAAGAAGTATTTAATCAATAGTACATATACAGTTAATAGCCTTCTTAGCTCAGTGATATATATTAATATAATACACTAATGCAATTGCTTTAAGCTTTAAATTCCTAATGTTATAATTAATCCCATAGTTTTGGTGCTTAATATCTCCTCTGCACCAAAATTTATCATACAAATAATACAGTCATCACTGACTAATTAATATTAATCTATGCTGTTAAAAGTTAGGAGAGTGATAACCTTTAAAGTAAAAGATGTTAGCAGTAACCTGGAAGGGGACATGATGGAAGGTTTCTGAATAGAAGGTAATTCTTGTTCTAGTGATTTAATGAGTGTGTTCACTTTGTGACAATTCACCTACCACACACTAAGATTTGTGTAATTCTTTGTATGTATGTTATACTTTGATCAAAACAGTTGATTTTTCAAAAATAAGCAGAAGACAAAAACAAAATAAAAATAAATCACAGAAACCCAACTTTTATGTCCCCTCAAAGTATAATTTCTTTGGAGGCATGCTATACTGTACTTAGGGTTTTTGTTGTTAAAAAACAAACAAGGCTGGTGCAGTGGCTCATGCTTATAATCCTAGTACTTAGGGAGGCTGAGGTGAGAGGACCGCCTGAGTTCAGGACCAGCCTGGGCAACTTGGTGAGACCTCATCTCTACAATAAATTAAAACAAACAATCAGCCAAGTGTGGTTGCATGTGCCTGTTGTTCCGGCTACTTGGAAGGCTGAGGTGGAAGGATCGTCTGAGCCCAGCAGGTTGAGGGTGCGGTGGCCATGAGAGTACCACTGTACTCCAAGCTGGGCGACAGAACGAGACTCTGACTCAAAAACCAAACAAACAAAACAAATAAGCTGGGCACAGTGGCTCATGCCTGTAATACCAGCACTTTTGGGAGGTGGAGGCAAGAGGATTACCTGAGCTCAGGGGTTCAAGGCCAGCCTGAACAACCATGGTGAGATCTCATCTCTACAATAAATAAAAAAATCAGCCTGGCATGGTGGCACATGCCTGTGGTTCCAGCTACTTGGAAGGTTGAGGCAGAAGGAACACCTGAACCCAGCAAGTTGAGGCTGCAGTGGCCGTGAGTGTGCCACTGCACTCCAGTATAAGCAACAAGAGTGAGACTCCAACGCAAAAAACACCAAACAAACAAAATACCTAATCTTTAAACCCTTACACTGTCAACTGTGGAAGAGCAAATTCACATCTATTTTAAGTATTTGTCCAGTGTGTGTGTATGCATATATTAAAGTAGAAAGACAGACTTAATTGTTTAATATGAATTGCTGTATTTATCTCTACCTTTCTCATTCTCTTTTTCTTGCTTTCTCTTATTCTAAGTTGTCCCTTAATAATTAATATTTGTAAGCTTAATGTGGATATCATACAACTCATCTGTGAAAATTGCAGTAGAAGAGCAGGACAATTTCACCTTACAAAGCTGCAACATCCCCATCCATGAGCTATAAGGCACATCAATCCACCAAAAATACTCAAATTCCCCCAGCTGAACTCATCGTCCTTCTTCACTAAGACCTATTTTTACACCTAGTCTCTCTGTAGCAGCACAGTTCTCTCAAGCTGAAATCTCAGAAACATTATTGGTTCAATTTCTTGCAATATTTAGCTCTACTTATAAGATACAATGTCCCACCGCTAAGAAATCTTTCCCTCTACCCTGGTCCTTTCCACTCCCTTTGCTATTTGATCCTTCTAATATCTTGCTTGCTTATTGCAAACAATTTCTACTTCTTATTTACAGCTCTTCATCATTCCAATTAATCTTAACTCACCATGTTAATCTTCCCAAGGGACAACTTTGACCATGGCATACCTGTTTTAAAATTAGCCAAGCCGGGTGTGGTGGCTCACGCCTGTAATCCCAGTGCTTTGGAGGGCAGAGGCGAGAGGAACTGCCTGAGCTCAGGGGTTCGAGACCATCCTGGGCAACTTAGCGAGACCTTGTCTCTACAATAAAACAAAAAATTAGCTGGGCATGGTGGTGCACACCTATGGTTCCAGCGACTTGGAAGGCTGAGGTAGAAGGATCACCTGAGCCCAGAAGATTGAGGCTGCGGTGGCCACAAGCATACCACTGCACTCCAGTGTGGGTGACAGAGTGAGATTCCCACTCGAAAAAATAAAAGTCAGTGGCCTTGCTTGCCTTCTGAATGAAGTCCAAGTTTGGTTTTAAATTTCTATAAAAATCTCTATAACAACCACAAAACTACCATCCCCATTTTTGCCAGTATCAAAATTATTTTAACCACTGAAAGGCGATATACACTGCAAATCATGAACAAACAAAAAACAAAACCAAAAAAAGGAGGGGGGAGATCCACTCAGTATGATTTCTTTTTTTTTTTTTTTTTTTTTTTTT